CCCGCGATGGGTGATGCCTCCCGCGATGGGTGATGCCGTCCGTGATGGGTGATGCCGTCCGCGATGGGTGATGCCTCCCGCGATGGGTGATGCCGGCCGCGATGGGTGATGCTTCCCGCGATGGGTGATGCCGTTCGCGATGGGTGATGCCTCCCGCGATGGGTGATGCCTCCCGCGATGGGTGATGCCTCCCGCGATGGGTGATGCCGTCCGGCAGCCCCGGGTCCGGCACAGCGCTTTCGGTGCCCGCCCAGTGCCCCTCGCCCGCCGCCGCCCCACCACCAGCTCTCGGTGAGCTCTTCTCGGCGGCCGCCCGGGCTGTCCCGGATCTTCGGACCGCCAGAGATCCGTGTCGGAGATTCGTGAGCCACGCGAGGGGCCGACGCAGTTCTGGTGCCCTGCCGTGGGGATATTCCTTCACAAGGAAAAGCCAGTGAATCACCTTTGGCCGACCCGTCTGTGCATCCCCGAGGAAAAGGGGTTCATTGGATTTACCATCCTCCCCCGCCCCGCTGCTATCAGGGATGCTGCCATTTGGCTCAGGGACGAATGCTGTGTCTGCTGGAGAGATCCAGGGGYTGGAAGGGTGGCCGGAGAGCTGCTGAGTTATTCTTGGCTGTGGAATGGCCCCTCCGGGGCTGCTGCAGCCAAAGCTGAAGGATGGAGCCAAATCCAAACGAGGGCAGCCCGAGGCCAATTGACGTGRGAAGCTAAGCAAGTCCCCAGCAGACCAGCGGTGGCTCAAGGCCATCTTTGGCCCCTTTCCTTCWTGCATGTGCCAAGCAGAGCTTAAGAGGAACAGAAAATTTAGGTCACTGAATAGGTTCCAGTTMAAAGAAAGAGAAGAACAAAAGAATTAAAATCTTGACATAGAGATTAAGATCAACTCTTTCATGATATAAATACACAGTTGTCACTTCTTCAGCTGATGATGTGAACTCTGCACCCCAAATGAATTTCTCATCAAAGATCTGTGATTAATGGGCACCTGGTGGTCTCTGGTACTTTCTCTGGAGATGCAGCCTCAGTCATTTTGTCCTCCCAAAGAAAGGTGGAAGGAGCAGCTTGCTGGAGGCTCCATCCAGCATCAAGAGCCAGAGCACTGTCCTTTYGATGTTGAAAGACCTTTCTGAAGTTATGGCTAGCTTCTCTCAGCTTTGTGCTGGTTACTTGTTTCAGCCAATACCTTCAATCCTGTGCAGCTCYTCACTTGCTCTTTCACATCCTCTTTTTGATTCACCAGTCCTTTCTCTTTCCTTCTCTTTTATGGGGCTTATGATCTGCTCAGAAATATTTCCTTTTAGTCCCTGGTTTTGGTTTCTACACTTCTCTTCAGTGCCATTTTGCTATGTTTGCATTCCAGATAGCCACCCATTAGTCTGTGTTTGTGCAGTGCTCCTTAATAGCCCCATTTTCTGGCTTATTCACAATTGTACCATATGTGGTTTCTACCACACAGACCTTGGCAATCTGAAACACTAAAAATGTGAAAATGCCCTGCAAATGGCTAGGATATCTCATTCATGCATTATTTTCTGTCATAAACTGGCTTCTGTTGGCCCATTGACARGGGTGTAGCTAAGGATTTTCCAGCATAATATCTGTTGGTTTTAGAAAAGTGTATTCCCTAAATGCTCTTTTAAGTGAAAATTAGGGAGTTTTATTTTTCATTCTGACACAATTTATTTTACATTTTGGGTATTCTTGCTTCATCTATTCAATCTTCTTTTCAAATTAAAAGGCTCTCTCATTTTGAGAACCTCAGCAAAGGGAAATGGATCTCTGSCAGTTTTAGCAAAGGATTTAAGAAAAATACAGACTTTGTAAGAAAATCAGTTGAGTTAGCAACATTTTTCTACATGACAGTCAAAAGAGAGTCAGTAATGCAACACCAAAAAGGAACACCTTCTATGCTCTGGAGAGCCTTTTATCAAAATAAAGAGAGCTTAGCAGATGCCACACAGCAATCAAGCAAGAAATGAGGATGACAGTTTCTGCTGTACTTCTTTTGTGTAAGTATTAAACCACMAAAGCCAAAGGGAGAGGTACATTAWAAAAACACATGCTTCTTGTATCTGCAAACCCCCCACATCTTAAACTACTCATGTGTTCAGATAGAAAAGTTTCATGCTTCCAGACAGGTTGAATTCTGTAYTTTTTGTCTCAAACTGRCACAGATGCAGTCTTAATACAACTRGAAGAGAAGYAGGGCAGATTCTCAGGTGTAGTTCATGTGTCTCTCAGATYATCTSAGATTTGCCCTCCTCTTCAGTCCCAGTGTAGATGTGARCCTCCAGTGTGGGCCTTCAGCTTGAGAAATATGTGAATTCCCTCCTCTCACTCCTCTGTTGTAGTAAATCCATTCTAGAACACATATTCTGGAGATTTGCTTGTTGCATATATTGATTAAATGTCTAATCATAGAATAAATAGGCTTGGGAGGAACCTTAGGATCCAGTCCAACCCATGCTCAAAGTGGGGCCTGTTTGTGTTCTTGTTCATGTGTGCTTGTTCACTTCTACTTGTTCATTTACAGATTCCTTCAGGCAATCCAGGCACCTGATATTTCCAACAGAGCACAATAGTCTGCCTTCAGTTGTCGTGTAGGGACTGGAGGCTTCTCCTAACAAATGTCTTATGGATTGGTCTGTCATTTGTATACYTTTTACTGTTGTAAAAGTTTCATATGTCTTTGGGATTTTGGGATGCCCACATGGCTGCAGTTTTGTTCTCACCCAATATTCCACATCTCTCCTGAGCTGAAGGTGAACACTGGACACCAAACACAGGCTGAGCTTCAGTAACAGAAGTGGTATGAGCACACCAGCAGGGTTAAATCCAAAATCAGTTCCCTCCCTACACATCAAAATCAGCCCTTATCACCCTTTACTGCCCAGTGCTGCTCTTCCCTCCCCAKAGAGTTCTGCCACTGCAGGTCAGCTTTGCAGCTTTCCCTCCCTGGCTGGGCTTTGTCCTGGGAATCTACACTTCTGTCCAAGGGGCTCTGGGTTTACAGGGTCACCTCCATCCCAGCCCTGCAGTCAGTTCACTTTTGATGGGCAGCCAGCCCTGGGGCATTTGACAGAAAGGAATTTATTGGGTGAGCTGTTTCATGCCCACRTTAGCAAAGAAGAACTTATGTTTTCAGTTTTCTCTGTTTAGGGCTCTTGAAAGGGGAATTATCACCACACAGCAGAGACCACGCTGGTAGCCAAAATTTGGAGTAGTCTGACTGGGAGCCATGCAGCCCCAAGGGAGTCATAGCATTATCATTTGGTAGCCACATTGCACCAGCAGTCTCTGGTTGCTCAATATATTCTGGTTTCTTACCATATATCTTTTATTTCTCAGATTGAGCTACCCTGTTCAGTATGGACTCCACTTACAAAGCTACATAAAAGGTTTTGTGGTTTTTGTTCTGTGAAGATCAATTGACAGTGGTATGAAGACCTGTTTAGAAAATGAAGTGTTCTTGGCATTTCACAAYGGACTCTCTGTTCCTAAGTCAACCTTTCCTTCTGTTACTTGTGTATAGCTGACAACACAAACATGATTTCTGCATGACCTAAGTTTTGGTGCATGTATTGACATTTAATCACAATGAAAATTACACATCAGAAGACAGGGCTGCACTGAACTACCTTTTGCTCCAAGAGCACGCTGAATTTTTCTCCAYTACTCAGATTCACAAAACTTTATAATTGAACAGAAGTCTAATTTCTTGGAGACTTTGTCTTAATTACCAGTTATGGTAGAAATTTGCCAACATGAGAAATTTTGGGATAGTGGGAAATGCTGAGTAGGTACTTRGACAGTCATGCATGATCATGCAAGCCTTTTTTCCTTAAGAGACAAGCCTAGATTTTTTTGGGTTTTGTGTTGTTGTTTAGTGGCTGGGTTTTCCTCCTTTTTGTGGGAATGTACAGAGAACAAATTACAGGTTTTTGTAACAAGATACTGAAAGCATGGTTAGTGGTACTAATTGCTTACAGAATTGATTTTTATTACAGAATRTCACATTTTCCATTTGGAGAGGTTGGATAATTTTGGTAAGGGTTTCAGCTTAGGTAAAAACRTAGCAGCTGTTACAGAGTCTCTGAAGAGAACATTGCATTTTTCACTATTTTTATATAGAACTACCTGTGATGAGTGAATCACTCTTCAGCTGTTCACAAATGCCAGGACTTTCTGCAGAGCAAGAAGTTTGAAATTCAGAGTTTTGGCATATCTAGTAAAACCCTAACTTCAAAATAGCATTACTTTGACCCTATCCTGAGCTTTTTTCCATAGGCTTTGTTATCTCTAGTGCTTCTTCCCTTGGCTTGAACCTGCTCAGATTCACAGGGTGGTC